ATGTTGTCTACAATTTATTCCAAATACGTCCAGAAGAAAAATTAACATCGTCTAATTTTAGCGTAAAACCATGTAGCTTTAAAGTTTCTGATTTTAGCAGCCATATCGGATATTGAAAAGTACTTAGAAATATTTAACTTTTTTATGAATACTCTTGAAGTAAAGGTTAATGAATTAAGTGCAATAGACTTTTTTTTAAGGTGTTTATTATATCAATTGTAAAAAAAGGAAAAATTTACTAATTAGAAGTGTATGCGAAGATTCTTCAACGTCATACATTGCAGCAGCAGCTTCTTTCAAAGTGTTTACCAAAAAAGACAATTCATTTAGCTTGCCTGGCTGGGCTAACAAAGCAGATTTTTCTTTCCATAACTTGTTTGTTACCTGGCAATAATTTACTCCTTTGTTGATGAATTCACTAAAGCGCAGGATTCTCTCATTCATGTTAATAGTGCTTTGAGTGTTACCAATCGTATTAGACAAGGTGGCATTTTCATCTGTAGCAGGAGTTACATTCTGTAAAAGGTACTTAAAATATACAATTGATAAGGAAAATATGTTTACAGAGCTTGAATGAGCCAGGGAAAGAGCAGCTATAAAGATAATCGCTTCGAACCTCAATGTCATAATATAATACATCATGTGTAAAGGGCCTACACTGAAACAGATTATCTTCAATTTCCTCTAGCATACCATAAGCAATGTCATAATAAAGGATATCAGCAGCCTTCTTCTTTTGATCTTCTACAGTCAATTTTACAGCCTGAAATCCAAATTTGCATTTAACGGCTTTTTGATAGTAATCTACTGCAACCACTTGTGACAAAAGGTAAATCAGCCGAACAACACGAACAGAACGAGAGCGGCCAAGATAGAACGTCTTCAATAGATTATGGTACGGTTCTATCAGACTGTTAGTGTGGAAGGAAGCATTCTATAAATAGACAGAAAAGTTAGATTTTAGTAAACTGGAACAATAAGCATTAATGATTATTTGTTTCCACGCTTTGGACCACAACTTCTTTCTTGGAAGCCACAAGCCGTTGAAGTACGTAAGAAATACTTTAAATTATTTATTTGAATTTGTTCTCTTACAACGAGTATCTTTATTATTTTTAGTATTTCTTATTTATGAACAAAAGAACGTTTGCTTATTTTTCTGAGGCAATTGTTGTAAGACTTATAATTATCTTAATTCGCCGTTGTAGGCTCAACAAGATAAAGGCCAAAACAGAAAAAAAGGTTGCCTGAGATTAAATATTTGTTTTATAGAAAAGGAGTTCCATCAGAGAGTGTATCACTATTGACGCTCCATTTCAGCTTTAAAGTTACTGATTTTAGCAGCGTTGTCAATAGAATAAACAACAATTGATAAGTTATAGCCACCTTTGAATAAATTCGATCACTGTTACCCATCTTCCTTTTCCTTTCTTTCTTATGACTGATCTTCTGTATTCCTAATGGACGCTATTACTACCCTCCCGGAACAAGCAATAAAAGAAAGATGCTAGTTCTTCATTTATCAAACCTTCGATTCAAGGTTAAAGCGAGAAATGATAAACCTATACAAAAAAAATCCAAAAAAAGAAAGCCCAACGGAAGAAGTAATTTTAAAAGATTTGGAGGAAAGGGAAATAGCAAAAAAACAGTTTGCTAAATGTAACAAAGACGCATCAGAATTATGGAATCAAGCAAATAGCTTGTTAGGCGGTAACAAAACAGAAATACTGGATTGTATAAATATATATGCCTTTTATTTTAGACGATACAAGTCTCAGTACAATCATTATTCGCTTGCAATTATCTGATGTTTACACAAAGCTATACATTCCCGTGATATTGCCATGGCGTCAATATGTGAAAGAAAATAAGAAAATAATATGTGATCAGCTTTTTGTCGATCAAAAGCTTCAAACACAGAACAACAACAAACAAAATGTATAAAAATGGTCACCACACCTCTTCAGACTATTCTCAAAAATGATAACGAAAGTGCATTAAATACTTTAAGAAAAGGACAGAGTATTGCATCTGATGCCTTACTAGACATCTCTATCACCATAGAGCTCATAGTGGAAGATTATTTACAGAGGTAACACTATTAGGGTTTTAGCAAAGGCAGGTCAATGCTGATATGTTCTTGTTTTATACCAGTGGGAAAAATAAATTACACATTAATCAAATAATACCCAAGGAAACACAGGGAGAAGAAATTAATCTTATCCTAAGCGCCCCCAAGCCAAGATTAAAAAGGATTTATTATTACAGCAAACTAGGATAGTAAAGGAACGAAGAGAGTACGAATTCCTTTCATACCATCACTTGTCATTTGTGTACAGCCATCTCTTTGATAAAAGATCAAGTGTTTCTTCAAGCGAAAAAAGCACCTGGCTTGACAAAGTGGAGCCACTGGATATAGTGCTCACAGAATGCCCGCCACAGATGAGATTATTGATTGATCCTCTTCTGAAAACGTTTGCTACTAACATTCCAATGATGTACTCGGGTGAACGAGTGTCTCGCTTACTAGAGAAGGCTTTGTTAGCCCTACTACGACTACATCTGACTGCCACAAGGGAAAAGAATTTTTAGACAAAAGATGCAGGTAAGCAAACTGATTTCGTTTAATAATGTTCTCTAATTTACTTGTCATAGCTTTTGTAATCTTAATGAAAAAGCGAAGAAAAATCAAGTTAACTGTGCTTCTTATTCAAGGAAGATTATTAAGAAAAGACTGTGACAACATCGAAAGCGTCTTCGCAAACTTCAAGCTAAGCAGAAGAGTGGTGGCTCTATTAACGTCAATAGACTACGCCAAGAGAAGTACATTATCAAGAAACTTGAAGGCCAACTTAGATAACCCTGCCAGACCTAGAGTAGCCCTGTTGGTGAACCATCTACACAGATGGATGCTCATCTTCCTACTGAAGAAAGGAGCACTACATCTGACGTTGCTAGTACTATGCTTGCTGGAGACATTTTTGCTAGTACTGCTAGTAGTGATTCAAATGGAAACAAGCTGAAGCAAATCGCCAGATATATCAAACGTCTGCTTATGTGTCAAGACAGCATTCATAAAACAATCGATTCCCCAATTCATCGAGTAAAACTTAGAGCATCTGGAGTTGCCCAATTTGGAAGTGTCTGCTTTATTGAATATCCATAATTTTTTCAGACAATTGGATCTATCACGTATAGGAGAAGTAGATATGGACAAGCATGTATTAGTGAGCCTTTCTGTGGCAAAAGCCTGCAACGCCATCCTTTTTCGAACAGATTACAGCAAGCTTTGTCGAACACTTGTACCAAACACGAAGCTATCCACTCTCCATGCTTTGCAGCTGAATACAGTTGGCTTACGTTATCTTTTTTTCCCAAAATTTAGGCCAATCAGAGCACAGACACAGGACGGTAACTACATCAAAAATGAAACAATGGCAAAAGACAATAAGGACAGCCTGTTTGCTACAATCTTTGATTTGAACAAGATCAAACAGTTGTGTAAAAGCCACGGTACAGAGTTTGACTATCGATTAATAATCACCAGCTACCACATTGCTCATCTTCAAGCAACTGCTCAAGTTCATCTACAGCAACAATAACAGAGGTAGGGACTATAAGCAACAGAAGCAAAAGAAAAAGGGCTACTGATGATGAAAATGTTCTCGATGATGCAATCAAACAACAGAACAGCCTGATAAAAATAGAAGAAGGAAGTATATCCAAGCTGTTAGTGGAAATACGTGATATCGAAAAGACAATCAATAATATCAACGTACAGGTAAACAACTTTCTTGACGATATCACAAAAAAGAAAACCTTGGTAAACGAACGACAGACATTAAAGGCATCCATGAAACAAAAATATCGAGCCATGCTTGAAAAAAAGAGAAAGTCATGGAATGCAAAAATGAAAAAGCAAGTCTTTACGAGTCACTGTTACCAAGCGAAGATGCAACTGAAATGTATCAATACTCAAAAACGATAAACCTATCTGGCTCCTTGGGTAACATGACTTTTTACGGTGTTGATCCTGGCGTCCGCACAAGACAACCTGCGTGCAAATGAATGCCAAAGATATATTTCGTGCTTATCCCTTTCTCTTGGCCATCCAGCTTTACTGAATTTTTTCAAGACTGAAGAAGGAAAGCAAGACTACATCATTTACTAAAGCATTGTGAAACGGCAGTTACAGCAAAAAACATTTCAGCAAAATCACGGACTTCATACTATCGCTTCCAGTTACAGCAGCATAAGAATAGCAATAGTGATATTACTTCTAAAGAGAGCAATCTTACCTAGATGGTGAACACAACAAAAGTAAGAAGTAGCAAGTATCTCGTAATCAAGAAACATCAGCTGTATAAAGAAATACAAGACAAGATGCTGGAATTTCATTGTTGTTCAAGTTGGGCAAGGCGGAAAAACAGAGACCAAAGAAGATTTAGAGATAAGGCATACAGCATCTCGGCCAGAAAAATAGTAAAGAATGCAAATTCAGAAACAAATATTGCCTTCTACGGGGACTCTAGCAGAGGGCATGACTCGTGGATAAAAGAATACGAAAAAAGAAGCACAGATATTTTTTAGAAGTCCCTTTCCAGTAAATCAACTGTCATTTCAGCTACTGAATCCCAATCATCAAAATTATGCTGTATCTATGACGAACCAATTGTTCATCCAAAGAAGAACAATGGAAAGGTCAATTTTGGTGCAGTTTTGTGTGTCAATCTGGCTGCATTGGTCGTCAACATTCATATGCTATAAGAAGCCAAGACACCAACGCAGCAATGAATATTTTGAAAGCTGGATTATACAAGATGGTTACAAACGATGACCACCCTTCGTTCTCAAGAAAAATGAAGAAAGAAGATGCTATAAACAAACTACTTCATGGCTCGACACAATTTGGAAAGTTGATGTCGGACTTTCTCTCAGTGTAGAAAATGGGTCTCGGATACTTTTTTGGGAAATTAGAGTTCTCCAGATGTCATCGCTGGCAAAGCGTAGTCGCATTCCAACTTTGATCAGGAAGACCCAATAAAAAATATACAGTTGCTGAAATGGAGAACAAAAGATATGGGCAATGATCTCTGATCCATGCTTTTTTATTCACAATTTTCTATATTCTATGTCTCTTTTATAGCTTCCTAAGCGCATTATTCTGTTTTTCTTTGTTTGGAGAATCTTCCAAAGGTGTCTGCAAAAAGATTTCAACATGCATATTTTCGATGTTGTCTATCTTGACTCAATTGGACAGCCTTTGTGCTTGATACGGGTCAAAGTGAATGCGGGCCATATATTTGTGTATTGATTCCAGCTCCTTGCATGGGAGGTTGGATAATATTGGCCACTATGCTTGATTGAATGGATCGTACCTTGTCGAGATTGTTGACATATGCGAGAAACATCATATGTTCTTCCAGGATATCTGATCGTAATTGGCTTATTTCTTCCATAAATGTAAACAATCTATACACAAGGACATATTGACTCTTGGGATAAGGTGCCCAAGGTTGATTGTTTCTCTTGAGCTTCCTTTGACACTAATGAATAGTAAGATTCGTATGGCTGTCAAACTTCTTATTTTGCTTCCAAAAAGGTAAGGAGATCATCTGAATTTAAAGTGTAAATAACTGTAGTTGCCATAGTATTACTGAGGCTACTCTTTCTTTCTAGTGTTACTTATCTCGATCTTCTTCTCTTTATTTTTTCTTTTAAATAAACAATTTGCTCTATCAAACCAGGCTCATAGTATATTCTTGTGCGGGGTAATAAACTAAAGATGCTGGGAGTACCACCGAAATGTCTGAGTTTGTGAATATTACGCGAGGTTTTCTCTTGAAGGACTTTTTCCCCTTTTTTCTTTCATTCTTCAATGTCTCTACTAGTTTCAAGTAAGCTTTCATCATTTCTTGTCTTTTCCCCTTCTTTTAATCATTCGATTGAACTTTATAGTATTCTTTTGGATTGGTATTTTGGCCGTTGTACCTTACCTTGCACTTGTCGCATACGGTGCATACGGTTGTCCTGAACAAAATCTTAAACAAAAATACAACGCTCAGTGGTATGATCGATATTGAATTATTTCCGCTTGTTTCCTAAACATAACTTAGGGCACTAGTCACTGGAGGCTCTTCAGGTATTGGTGCTGCCATTGTTCGCAAGTTTGCAGCACAAGGTCTGAATGTCGTTATCGTTGCCTTGGATGATGCTGTCTTGACCAAATTCAAAGAAACAATCGTCAAAGAGTTCCCACGAGTCCAATTTCGATTTGTAGGATGTGATTTATCGGAAGCTGCCGGTAAAGTTTACTTGGAAGCTGTCAAGAAGGCTACTCAAGATATTGATGTTCAAATTTTGTGCAACAATGCTGGTTTCATCACAACAGGTGGATACGCTGATGTTGCTCTTGAGAGAGAAATGGCCAATTTCCACACCAACGTGACTTCTGGGCTAGTTTTGACGCATTACTTTGTGGACGAGATGCTGAATAAGGGATTGAAAGGCCTCGTTACCTTTACCTCCTCCAGCGCAGGATTTATTCCTAATCCAATGTCTGCTCTATACGGTACGAAGATCAAGTATAAAGATATTATATGCTTACACTTTTAGGAAATAGCCTCTAGTAAAATCTTCTTGACTACATTTGCTGCCTCTCTTGCTGCAGAAGTGGCTGAAGCCAAGATTGATGTTCTTGCCATCGTAAGTAACAGTTTTGTATTTTTGGGAGCATAATCTAACACCCTGGTAGCATCCTTCACCCATCAATTCTAGTTTCTATAACAACGCCGGAAAGATGTCTGCTCTCTTGACAGCACAAAAGTTTTCTTCTCCTCCCTCTGTCATTGCTGATACCATTTGTCGTAACGCAGGTAAAATCGTTATTGTAGATCAAGGACCTATCACTGTTATCATGAAGATTTTGATGACCAAGGTGATGGACTGGAACGTATTTACTGAAATCATGAAACTGGGACTTCGCTTCAATGGTGATTATAAAGCCATGAAAGTAACTCGACCCATGAAAAACAAATGATTGCTTTTATTTTATGTACAGAGAATAATATAAAAGTTAGTAGTAGCTGCATTAATAATTTACGAGGTCAGAAAAGGATGGTTTATAAGTTCTGATATCGTAGGTCGAAGTTTGGGTGATCGATTTAAACAACGGGATAGTAGTAGGATGAGTTCATCAGGGATCTGCACGGTCGTATTTCTTGGCCCATAAAGAATTTCTTTAGAAAAGTTGATCTTGTATTGCGGATTTGGGATATTTGCTACTTTTTGGGCTATTGTGAGGTGATAAAAGGGAGTCCTACCATAAACCATTTGATATAAAATACAGGCTAATGACCAAATGTCGCTAGATGTCCCTAGTTTCATTAGACTGCCACCATCGTTACCCTCATTTAGATCTAATAATGCCTCAGGTGACATATAGTTGATTGTACCAATCTATAAGCCAGTCAGCACATTTCATCATTATTTATGCGTGCTAACGACTTACTTGTATTTCACGATGTATACTTGTCGTATCATCTCCATGTCTCTTTGCTATACCAAAATCGATCAACTTGAGCTGACCTTTTGCCAATACAAAATTAGCAGGCTTGAGATCTGAATGAACAATAAATCTTCTGTGTATTGCATTTACTGCATAGAGCATCTATTATAAACCACACATTTAGCAAACGTGACGTGTACTTTTCTTTTCTAATCGTTACTTGTTTCCAGTAATATTTTATAAATAAAATGTCCCATTCCTTTTTCGCCTGTAACTGAATCAGTGCTGCTAGATCGATTTCACCATATTCCATAATCATGAATATCGTTGAAGGAGTAGCAGAATAATCAACCAAATCAATAATGTTCTCTTCTTCCTTTAGTGATTTCAGTAACTCGATCTCATTGATTGTATTTTGAAAGTCGTCGCGTTTTTTGATTTCAATCCATTTTAATGCATATATTTCGCCTGAAGCATGTGAAGAAACTAGATAGACTTTGCTTGAACCGCCCTTTCCTATTTCTTTAAACATGGTATATTCATTTCCGTTAACCTATACAGCATGTTAGCACCAGGCATTATATATTACTCGGATACACACAATAATTTTATCCGACTGTCGATATGAAGGGGGTATCTGTGTTTCTGCAGGAATAGTAGGTGTTGACATTACTGCTGCATTTCTATTATAGACTGGTGATTCATGAGGCTGTATCATTGTAGCTGACTGGTTAAAGTCATAAGTTGAATGCTACTCCCTATGGTCAGTTGAATCCTTGCTATACTCCCTTTTTTTTATTTACCTTTATTACATCTTCTGTGATATGGAGGTTCCCTACTCGTCTTTCAAGTGTTCCTGTTTCAGTGCTCATATTTCCCACTAGACAAGTGGATGAGTATACGATATTATCTTCAATTGAAAAAAAAAAAAAAAAGACTCACTATCGTTTATGCTTGAAGAAGTCAAGTTCCTTGTATCTTTAGGCGTAGGATAGACATAATCATGAATAGATGGCGAAGATGGGTGATGCTGTGACGGTGGAGTGGATGGTATAGGTGAATATGAGATATACGATGAAGACCTGCTAGGCGTTGGCTCATTATTTACTTTTCTTCGAATGATACGACTATATAAAGCGTTAACAATCTCATTTTTTATATTATAAATATATAGTTACGATGAATAAGGGTGTGTGTCTGGTCTAGTTGTCTGTTATTGAAAAGGTTAAAGAACGAATAATAAGATATGTTGTAATCTTACGCTGTCTGACAGTATATTGTTGTCTAATGCAGCTGAATGTACGTCTTGAATAGAAGTTCGCTTCAATGATCTATATTTCTATAATAATAATTAAATATTTGAATTGAAATTAAATGAATCTCTTTTAATACATCATGTCCTGCTGCTTCATCAGTTGAAGAATTATATGATTTTGTTGGGAGACAGTCTTCCTCGTTTGCTTCACTAAACTCTTGTAAAAGTTTCAATATATCTGATTCTGGCTTATGTAAAGAATCCCCATCTGCAGAATTATCCAAAAGCATTTCGTCTTCCATTGAAAATGTCTGCAATAAAAAAAAAAAAGAAAAAAAAAAGGGTCAATGACAATTTCGCTTACACTAGATTAAACTTCCGTCTTCTGACTTTCAAATGTAGTACGCCCACATTTGAAAACAGAAAAAGATACTGTTACAGTTTTCTACTTTAAATTCAGACGATGTTAGTTTTTTTCTGGACAAATCAAAATTAACTTTCAAATGATTAGAATACCTTTTTTGGATAAAATTAAAAAGGAACTCAGACAATAGACATTAGGCAGCTGCCAAAGTGAACAACGAAGATATGGTGATAATAGCACTCCTAAAGCCGCTTTATTTTTCAATATATATAATAAAAAACACAAATACATGTATTCTTCATATATTAGCAAGCATCGATGCAATTTTTTTCTTGGGAGGGTAATTTGAAGTTTACTGGTTAGAGATCCACCATTGCTTGATATGATTGAGCAAGTTGTTAGGGCGGGTGACTACCACATCTTCGTTGTTCACTTCAGCAAATGCCTGATTGTTTGTCCGTTGTAAATTGATCTTTGTTGCCTTCGTTTCACACTTCGATGTGGTGGTATGGTTTTCAGGTGAAGAAAATATTGAATTCGTGATCCTTGGGCTTTCCGTGTGCGAGTAAGTAGAATTGTTCAAAAGTATTTGATCTATTGGACCAATGAGCGTGTTGCTTAATACTGGCAATGGTATTGCCACTTTGTACTGCGAAAGTGCTGGAAGCTGACCAAAGTGAATGTGCTTTATATTTCTTGATATTAACACCGGCGCATTTCATATGATTTTTAACCCAATTGGATACCGTACTAGACAAGACAGAATGAACAGCAGCTGTATCCTCAATGTAGATGCTGGTGGTCGCTTTGGCGCTGGCGCAGAGACGTTCAGCGTCTTTATACTTGGAGTTGACGTGTTGGTAGATGTCAATTTTTCGTTCCTTAAGCTCTTGAACGAATTTTTTGTTAATGATCTCGCTTGTTGTCCATTCTCCACCTTCAATTTTTGGAACTTCGCGAACAAATCGTCGAATATTTGCTTGTATGGTACTGGGCAAAGACTCACCCAGGTCCTGTTGTATGTCTTGGTGGAGGAGAAATCCATCGGCTCGCTCAGCTTCCTCGAACTTAAGCTTTTTGGCAAACTCCTTGAAAAGTTGTTCGACTTCGGTTCTGGTGTAGGTTTGTTCATCCTTATTCAATGAGATATTTTACATACTCTGTACCACGATGCGTGGCTATAAGAAGATATGAAGAATATATGTATTTTTTTCAAGGAAAACACTACATGCACAAAAAATTCACGACAAAAGCGGCTAATGTTACGAGCGCTACCTCGAGGCGCTAGCTATGTTGTCTCTACAAATTCACACTATCGAAGCCTCTACCTAAACTAAGGCTGCCCAGCCGGATATTCATTAATGTAAAATATACCTGAATTGATCTTGGTTCTTTGTTGGTAGAACTGACAACAAAAAGTTAAAATAAAGAATAACAGCTTCTTTTTAT